CGCAATAGAAGCGTTTTTTATTGTATTTCAGGGCCACAGTATAAAGACTAAAACCAACCTTTATTCCATCAATGCTCACTCCGGGCCATATAAATTTTGCTTGCGATTTTGATGTGAGATTGTATTTTAAACAGCTTTAGTTTATATTACCATCGGTTTTAATATAAGTTTGTGTTGTTTGAAGGTTTAGTTTATGTAACTTCCGGTTTTGATTTAGTTTGATAGTCCATGTGAATACCTTAGACGCATGAAATTAATAGCAACATTCCAGCAGTCCTGTATATGGAGTATATATCTCCTAGTTGATACTTCAACTGCAAGCTGCGAGGATCGTAACAATCTTTACTAACACCGAATATATATATTTAGAGATTGGCTGGGAACTCCTACCCAATAGGAGGTACAGAAGAAAACTCAAATTATTTTATAAAATATACAATGGTCTCGCTCCACAATATTAATTTGATTTAATTCCCCCAACTATGCAAAGTACAACTGTTTATCCACTGCGTAATGACAATGACTTAATAGCCCCCTTTTGTTAACTCTCCTCAACAAATTCTGCATTTCTTCTCTCGTCCATAAGAGAATGGAGCAAACTTGATAATTCTACCTGTACACTTGATACCCTATCTAAGTTTAAACGCTCTTTGTTGAATAATACATACGAAGCAAAGACTGTACCTAAGCATTTTATGTACGGTCGGCGGAAATTGAGTGTAATTTTAACACAGCTGCGATGTTCAGCCTCATTTCTAAATAACGACCTATTTGAATCAAATATAATACAGAGTCCATATTCTGCTCCATATTTAATTGCAATAAATACATCGATATAAGGAACGATCTATTAACCAACATTCATCGTTTTCAAGTGAAACCAATCTATAGTTGCTCACTGAAGGTAGCCAAACTTTTACATACGAGGAAAGCTGTGAAATCTTGAAAGAAGTCTTTAAATTTATAAAATAAAATCAAAAATTCCTCATAGTATAATCAAATAAAGTATGAATAAACAAAATCACCGTGGCCACAGAATTTCATTGAAATTATTTATTTATTATTATCTATTTTAATTTTATTTAATTTTTTTTAATTTTTTTTTTTTTTATTTCATTTCATTAATATTTTTATTTTTTTCTCAATTTTCTATTCTTGTTCTTGTTAATAGTGTTAGGCTTTTTCATCAGACTCTGCAAATGCCCCATTTCAATATTACTTTTAAAAGAGAGATCTACTGAAATGGCAATTGTAATAATATTATGTAAAGGAGAAGATTTCATAAGTTGGTTAAATTTGTGTCAGATCCTATTTGTATTTTTGAGCAAATAAAATCGTTATAAACTAAAATAAAACTACGATATTCCAGGGCTTGCATTTCCTATCATGATTTCCTTGATAAAGGGTTGCTGCTGACAAAAAGCTATTAAACCAAGAGTTCCAAGTTGAAAAAAATCTCTTCGAAAATTTCACAGACGTTAAAAATAAGTTCCTTTGGATTAATTTCCGCAGTAGAGAATTCAATAGATTTTAAAGGAACAATATCCTCAATGTAAAAGAACGTGTTGTTGAATATATATATATATGTATATATAGAAGCACATCTATGCAGTCTCTGTTGTAAATACTTAACCTACGTCATTTTTGAAATTATAGAACTATACAAGCAGTGTTCGGTTTTTAATTGTATAACTGTAAAGATTGTTTAAGTTTTATTGGAATAGATTGAAATGATTTATTTTACATCATCATAATAATACTGATGAAGGATATCTGTTATCCGAAATATTTATAGATACTTATATCTATTGTTTCCTTATTTTAGTATTTGTGTTGTTTTGTACACTTTATCATGCGTATATATAATATATTTATTGTGTACAGAATCGTTTCTCATAACGACCCAGCGCCCTCGTAAAAAAGATCGTTCACTAATATCTAGACGTTTTATATATATATATATATATATATAATGCGTTTTGTTTAAATATACTTTTTCACTTTTTTGGTCTTTTGGAAAATGTTGTTTGTGCTGTATTTAGACCCCTTTACGAAGAAATTTGTTTTGCATACACACGTATAAAAATTGCGGTTTTTATCCAACGCAATCATAGGTTTGAACGTTGTTTTCAATTTAGACTTATTTATATTTTTCGTTTGGGCTTGTATTATATTTGCCTTCGGGTTTATATGATCCGTTCATCCTATTTCGACTCTTCAAAACTCAAGAGTCTATCCTAAATTGAGGTAAATTATATGACCTTCCAAATACCGTTTCGATCCCTAACACCACTGAAGAGACATTAATTGTCGAAATCCGGATATGGTGTACAAATTTTTTTGCACCTCATGTTTGCGGTATACCATTTTTTCCGCAAGTTTATTGTTTTCTGTTTGGTGTTAAATTAATATTAAAGATCCATTTTGTTACATCTTGTGGTCCGTTTATTTGGCAATCGCCAATGGCAGTCAGCAGGGTTTAAGAATATCCGTTGTTCGACCTGTTAGTCAAATGCGTTTTGTTTAAATATACCTTTCAACATTTTTGGTCTTTTGGAAAATGTTGTTTGTGCTGTATTTAGACCCCTCTACGAAGAAATTTGTTTTGCATGCACACTTTTAAAAATTGCGGTTTTTATCCAACGCAATCATAGGTTTAAACGTTGTTTCAATTTAGACTTATTTATATAGCGCGTCGGATACAGTGCAGGCGATTTGGTGTCACGATATCTCAGTAGCATGAGTTCGAATCCCGATGAGGGAAGAACTAAAAATTTGCGAAAGCAAATTTACAGACCTAACATTGTTGGGCTGATGTTTAGACGAATTGTATATACAGAATGTACACAGCCATGTATCACCATCACTGCTGGTGATCCGATGGATAAATCTGTTGTAGAGTTGTTACTGGTTCCGACGTACTTATAAATATAATTATTTCTGTGACTGTATCTTGCATTAATTTGTAGGATCCTTTACAATAGATATTTCAGCTGATCTGTAACAATTCCATCTTCATGCCTTATATATCTATATATATCTATATATATATATATATGTATTAAGACGCTAGATTGAACTTGACGAGGAAAGGTAAAACCCGGCCACCGAAAGCTTTATTATTGTGAGGCCTAGGTGGTCGAGTGGTCTAGCGCGTCGGATACAGTGCAGGCGATTTGGTGTCTCGATATCTCAGTAGCATGAGTTCAAATCCCGGCGAGGGAAGAACAAAAAATTTGCGAAAGCAAATTTACAGATCTAACATTGTTGGGCTGATGTAGTGCCTAGAAAATCAACCTAACGATGTTAGAGTAGATCTGTTTATTTACTTCCTCCCCGAGCGTGGCTTGAACCTGTACTTTTTATTTCTAACTTCTACGACAACACCGCCTAGCATTGCGAAGACACCTTATCCCCTCCTATAACTATAGCTGATAAAAATCAGCTTTCGTTTCGGGAGGTGTTACCTTCTCGTAGAAATTAAACAAGGATATCTGATACAATACACGAAGTATTCTTTTAGTGTACAGAAATGATCATCTACTCAACTCTTCAGTATAATTACAGGATGCTAATCTATTTTTAGAAGCATACAATCACTGTAAATTAATATGTATATAGACATATATACACATATTAATTTACAGTGATTGTATGCTTCTAAAAATAGATCATATATTTATATATATTGGTATTTAGATTGATCATTAGTGGGTTTTGCCATTAAACCGTGATTCATAACAATAAAGGATCAAGTCTGATATTAAGTGGAGCAATTGCTGCCCTTAGAAATTCTCTACAACCTGTTTGTAAAATGAAATGTTGAAACGTTCATAGATGTTGTCGGGGAGAACATTTGGAACTTCATCTGGTGCAGTAAAATTTGTATTGTTAATGTTCTTAGTAATCTTATCACCTGTTAACCTAATTCAGAGATCATCAAAAGCAGGTATTATCTTTAATATATAAAAAGATTTTTACAATCTAAAAATATTGAATTGCCATATTTTCATTTGCTATCCTACAATTGGTAATAATTATGATTTTTTTAACTGTAGTAAGGGTACTAGTTAAAAGCACTGAAACGATAGTAGTTGAACACTTATAGGATGCCGACTTGAAAGGATATTTTACGGTTTTTGTATAGTTTTATCAGTAACCTTCTTTTAGAAATGAGCTTTAAATGTTCAGGGGTTGCCTTAAGCTTAGAAATGGTTACTAAATGTGATTGTCTATCATAAGACTCTATGGAGTGCAATGTCTAGGGATCTCTCTTTGTCATTGGGAATATCTCTATTATTCAACAGGCTCGTATTAAACAGTTCAATATTAGTCATCTTTGACCATGGATTAGGGCTGTAACTAGGATCTGTGTTTTGTATTCTTTCTTTTACCGAACTTAGTACAATTAAAAAATGCATTCTTAAGGATTTCGATCCAATAGTGTTTTCCTTACACCATCTTCGCTAGCAAAGAGTTACGATTCAGTCCCCTCCTCTCTGGTGGGTCTGGATCATAATTCTTGGCTAGCGAAGATGTCCTTACACTAACGTTAAGCGTCAGATTATTTATTTCGGCTCCCAGAAGAGCAGGGAATAAAGGTAACATTATCAAATCATTAGGAATAGCCGATGCCTCAATTGCATAGCAACACAAATTATGCTAGCATGCTATTCTTTAAAAGGAATGAGTGGCGGAAAATTTAAAAACACCTTTGAAATGAAACGGGATAGGAAGTTTACATTCCATTTTTATTTAGAGTCTTCTTTTATATCAAAATATATTGCTAAGATTTCATGGAATACCAAAAAGCCGTTGTATACGATCTCTGCATAAAACACCAAATGAAAAATATCGTGGAAAACTGAACCCGTAACAACGGAGTACGATGATTTTCTACATTAAAAGTCTAAACTTCACACTGTATAAACATTGCTTTAAACTACTTTGATATTAACGATTATATTTGCGTCGATCATTCCGCATTAGTACAGGTAAAAGTTAAGTGAAAGTTTTAACAATATATTTGAACTGAAACGTTACATAATAATTTCATAAAAAGGTGTTAACGTTAGTGCAGGACAATTTCTTTTTTCCTTGTAGAGCAAAGTTTACCAGTATATTTTCGAAGGTAAGTCTTCATATTTAAGGTGTGTGAATATATGTCTTTGCCCTTTAGAAGGTTCAGGAGGACACAATCATGATCATCATAGATGTAATATACATTTTAATGGATTACACTTTAAATCAGTTCTAATGTGAACCCTAAAGTACAATTTGATATTTGGACTGAACAAGAATTGCCATTATTCCTTAATTATAGTTTTCAATCAAACTATATTGTCTGAAATATCTGTAATTATAATATGTGTATTTGGTTGAAATTGTTAATAAATTTCAATACATATGATGATATTCAATACATGTCAAACATATCTGAAGCACACCCGTTTATTGTTTCATCATTTAGTCATTTATCAAAATTGGTGAATCATGAATAAGTTGAAACTGATATGACTGATTCAATCGGTTTTATAAATTTAAATTATTTACTGATAAGATACATTAGATGCACCATATCAAGTTGTTTAACAAAGCAATAACAGTTAAAGTGTCTCTGCTGGTGAAAAAAAGTCGGACAAAATTGACTATAATCTTTAAAATGAAGCTATTCACTAGGTAATATATGACAATATTCTTAAATGCATCAATGTTAAAAGATTAAAATAAATTTTTCCCGACTTTTTTCACCAGCAGAGACACTTTAACTGTTAGTGCTTCATGTTAGATAGCAGGTTTAAAATTTTGTACGCAAGACGCACGTTTCGTCTACAAAAGACTAATCAGTGACGATTAAATCGAAAAAGTTAAAACGGCCAAATAAAGTACGAAGATGAAGAGCATTGAGGACCCAAATTTCCAAGAGGTTTTGCCAAATACAGCTTATGTAATCTATTCCTGGGATAGAAAATCCTTAGTAATTCGAAATATTCAAATTTTTGTACAAAAGTCTCTTCTTGATAATATTATATCATATTTCAGAGCATTTATAAAATAATAACAGAAATGTTTATATATAACTGAAAACTGCAATTGATGGATTTGGGCAAATTAGAAATACTTATCTTAAAAGTTTGAAAAGATCTTATAATCCAATCTGGATGTTAAGCAACCAACAATCAATATAGAATTCTATGAAAAGCGAATTTAAGTCTCAAAGACACATATTATATTTGGTTCCAGAAATCCTTCAATGAAAATAAAATAAATAAAAAATTGTTATTCAACAATACGGTTACGAAATGTAACTAAAAAAAAAGTTGAAATTTGCAAAGAAAAAATATTTCTTTAATTTATATTCATATTCCTGTAAATTTTATCAACTTAATAATATGTTCGGTGTGGGTGGTTAGAATAAAGATGGAACCGGTCAAACCTCTTTTTGTATAATGGTTTTTTTGTTTCATTTGCCATAAGGTGTGTATGTCATTGATTGACAAAAACATTTACGATTTACTTCACTCCCCCCCCCCCCAAATAAAACAAAAAAAGATTACAAAAAATAATAACCTCCATTGACAAAACCCTTTAATAGATTTATAAAACTTTTAATTAAACGTTACTTAAGGTATTTGATGTGTTTAATATTCTTTCGTTGTAGTTAAGTAATTTCTGTTTTAAAGTTATGGTTGGCAATATTATTGATTATCCTTAAATAGTATTCTCCTGACGTAACGAAATAGCGGAGTAATTTTGCATACAAATTGATACTTCATATACATTTAAAACCCGGTTTCCCATTGTACTACATGGTAAAAGTTTTATATCTAATATTGAACGTACCTTATAAGGAAATGTAAATTACATTCAAAGAAGCACTGAAAACTGATCTGACGATCCCAAATGAATTAATTTGAATGGAAGGTTTATTTAATGTAACAATTATTTCTGTATATAACTTACCTGACTTTGTTTTTAGATATAGTAGATCTGTATCTGTGAAAGATGAGCATCGATAAACAAGATAGTATTATAGAACATAATTCAAAATGCGCCAAGTATTAACAATGTTGTTCCTACCGATTTAGTTTCCACAAATTTATGTTCTTCCATTAACTGAACACCACGTGAATTTCCATTTATTGAACAAATTGTTTGTCAATACAATTTTTTTTCTAATCTTCAATCGACAATTACTGCTTAATATTTAAATTATTGACTTCTATCTTACGTAGAATGGCGAACGCTTATCTAATGAAGAAACGGACAAGACTGTATAAAACTTTTGACTTAAACAAAGACACTGAGTTTTCGCGGGACCTAATACATTCAATTATTGAATCCGGTTCCTTACTTGGAAGAAAAAGAAGAAGAACAGTTGATGATGCCAATTTGTTTTTGTAAGTATATTTAGCGTAAGACTGCACACAAATGTAGTTATATATTGTTTGTAAATAGAAAGATGAAAAACTAACAAATTTTGGCATAAATAGAAATAAGAAGATGTGGAATGACTGCCAATGAGACAACTCTCCATCCAAGTCCAAATGTGTGAAAAGTAAATGGCTGACTTAGTAGGACAGGTGCAAACAAATGCAGCGGGTTTAAACGTTTTAACAGGCGCCATTAAGATTGTTTTGGCTTTAGAATTAATTGAAAGTATTATTAATCTATTTCCTTCAAAAAGTTTGCTTTCTGTTATTCTCTTTCTTTGATAAACTCTGAGGTTGCTGCCTGTTTATATCTCTTTCCTTACTACAGTCTTAGAGCATTGTCTGTTGATAGATTGTAAGTCCGTTGCCTATAATTTACTGAATTTGATATTGACAATAATTGATGTGGTATCTAAAAATGAAAAAGGAAAATGGTTCTTGTTTGCAGAATGTGGTATTTTGGGGCAACTGCAAAAGCGTCAATTAACCTCTTAATTTGCGAAACATTTGTAACTATTTGTGTTCTGTTCTAAAGGTTTCATATGATATTTTGAAAATTGTTATCATAAAAAAACTAAAATATGGCATTTTGTTTCATTATAGCAATATTTTAGACTGTGTAATCTCGATTTAATGGAAATTGCAATGTACTATATTTTTAGGACCGGGCAAAAAACAGAAACTACATTCTGCAAACAGAAACTACAGATAATAAGCTTTCGACTGATATATAATATAGCCGTGTGTTAGATGGGTGTATTCAAGTCCTTAACTAATAGTCCTTTTGAAAAATGTCTCCCGCCTAAATACCCCGGGATATTAATTCAAAATTGAGACATGAATTTTCGAAAATTACAAACTTTCAATAAGTCATTGACAGAAATATAAAGAAGCAATTGTGACAGCCTTTGAGAAAACTTTTTGAAAAAGCGGAGAAGAAATAAGTTCAAAGGGACATTTTGAAAATGAATTGATATATAAAAAAAAAATTATAAAAAAAAAACTTTGTTTATATACTGTATATTCACGTTTAGATAATATTTTTATAACGAACGTCTCCATGCAATTGAATACAGGTTTGTCCGAACATTACGTTTTGTTGTAGTTTTTTGTAAATTGTAATATTCGTAGGACTATCAGGAATACTCTTTAATATCATTGACGTCTGAAAAGTGCATTACAGTGTGTATATATGTCATTTTTGTAGATTTATATGCAGAAAAAAAATTAAAATTTAAGAACAAATAGTGTAACAACGTTAACTATCTAATGGTTTGTCCTAAGTACATTACTAAAGGAGGATAATATGTACTTACAGATATTTTTGTTCAAAAGAAAAACATAGTTTAAAAGAAACATTTTTTTTTTCAAATACAATGTTAGTTTAAAAATGCCTTTAATCAATGTAATATTAATCGGGGTAATAAACATGTAAACGTGCAAGTCCGTATCGTTTTAATTGAGATATAACAAAGACATAATATGAGACTGAGTTATCAACTATAGTGTAGTATATTTAAATATATATTGCGTTTTGTTAAAATATACTTTTTCACTTTTTTGGTCTTTTGGTAAATGTTGTTTGTGCTGTATTTAGACCCCTCTAACAAGAAATTTGTTTTGCATGCACACGTATAAAAATTGCGGTTTTTATCCAACGCAATCATAGGTTTGAACGTTGTTTTCAATTTAGACTTGTTTATATTTTTTCGTTTGGGCTTGTATTATATTTGTCTTCGGGTTTATATGATCCGTTCATCCTATTTTGACTCCTCAAAATTCAAGAGTCTATCCTAAATTGAGGTAAATTGTATGGCTTTCCAAATACCGTTTCGATTCCTAACATCACTGAAGAGACATTAATTGTCGAAATCCGGATATGGTGTACAAAAACCTTTGCACATTTTGTTTGCGGTATAACATCTTTTCCGCAAGTTTATTGTTTTCTGTTTAGTATTAAATTTATATTTAAAATCCATTTATTACATCGGTGATCCGTTTATTTGGCAATCGCCAATGGCAGTCAGCAGGGTTTAAAAACATTTGTTGTTCGACCTGTTAGTCAAATGCGTTTTGTTAAAATATACTTTTTCACTTTTTTGGTCTTTTGGAAAATGTTGTTTGTGCTGTATTTAGACCCCTCTAACAAGACATTTGTTTTGCATGCACACGTATAAAAATTGCGGTTTTTATCCAACGCAATCATAGGTTTGGACGTTGTTTTCAATTTAGAATTGTCAATATATATATATATATATAATATATATATATATATTTATATATCAGTGTTGTCTTTATTGCATTGGCTGTTTCAGGGATAGATTTATTAAAAGCAACAAACTGAAGGGTGAGCAGGCCACAGAATTCAAGACAAAATATTTAAATTGGTTTCCAAATTTTTTCCTGAAAGGAGAAGAAAAAATGACAGAGGATGGATAGTCAAAAGATGAGAGAGGAATATAGAAAAGACATCAGAAAGGATATGGATGTATTGGTATTGATCACAGATGTTAACAAAGATATTATGATATCCAAAGAAGAGTTTAGGGAAGCACTGAAAGCAATGGGATTGGTTACCTTTGATGAGAAGTATTTTAACGCATATCCGCAAATAAAACCAGGCTTCATAGAAGCTAATCTTTTTTTGCAAAGTTGGGTCGAGTATTGCTGTAATAGCGACGATAGAGATGTCAGTAAT